CACAGTCTGTCTAAAACAACAAAATAATAAGTAGCGGAGTCTCCAAGGCTTTCAAGGCTTTTTGTATTCGCGCAACACGGGATAGATCACGTTGAAGGCGGTATAGATTTCCTCGCGAACCTGATACACGTTAGAATTCGGATTGACGAAAGGTAAAGCGCATACCTTGGCTCCAGTGAGTACAATTTTACCGGATACGAATATAAGTAATACAACTTTTGGCTTGAACATCCTGTAGATGAGGCCAGGGAATAACTGTCATGGAGGAGTAGGTCATGAGCATTCACTCAAGATGATAGCATCGATAACAAGTAAAGCATGAGAGCTCACCTCAGGCTCATAGCTGGAGAAATTTCCGTGACCATAGTGAAGACCTTCCAAGCGGATAGGGAACTTGACATCGCACGAGCCGACGATGTTTTGAATCTTGAATTCGGTGAACTTGGCATCGAACCCGAGCTTTTGGATGATACGAGCGTATTTGCGAGACGCAAGGCGAGAATCGTCCTCCGATTTCGCTCCCGTGACTACCATTTTTCCAGACGCAAAAATGAGCGCTGTCGTCTTTGGTTCACGAATTCGCATGATTACAGCAGCAAAACGCTGTTTTTCAAGATACGGTAAGCACTGGAAGGAACACGAAGTCCAGCCAGAGACAGACCTTTGGATTATACTCCGCATTACGGGCGTGCATAGCAATAGTTTTTAAATCAAGACGAGTTCCAAGATTGACAGTAGCGACAATATTTCTTTCGATAGATGAAGCTTTTGCTTGTCAGCGGTATAGAGGATACTTACTGTAAGGTAGGTACAATTCCTTCTACATTAGTAATATATTGCTGTTCTAAGGACAGTTCTTGACCAGGAGCCGGTTGAACCTGCGTTTGGATCTGAATTTGTTGACTCTGAGCTTCCGTAGCTACAGGTGCTGGCTGGGCTGGTGCATTAGAAGTCGATGAAGTTGGATGGGGCGGAAGAGCAAGAGAAGGGAGCGTCAAGGGGGTTGAATTCGAATGAGACTGGGGTTGAGCCGCCTGGGCCAGACTCTGTGGGGTAATAGGGGGTAGCGCTAGCCCAGAAGTTGGCCGGGGCTGCTGATAAGCAGTAGGGCGCTGAGGAGGCCTGATAGGTTGAGGACGTTGAGGAGCATTGCGATTTAAAGATTTGTAGTTCATCGCCAGCCGCGGCCACAACTAGTAAATTTTATCGGGGGGAGACCGGGGGCAAGCTGGCGGCTGATGTCCGCCTTTTATAGTCATGGTTGGGTCCCGTGGCTGTGCCCAAAGTCAACCACATCTGACTCATCGAGGCAACCACTCCTTTGAAGCCTCAAAACACTTGAAACATTTTATTTTATAAATTTAAACCACTTTTTGTTACATTTTCTATGGAGTCCGGATTGACCGCAAAGATCCCGCTACACGTTTCTAATAAAACCGCATTCGTGTGGTCACTTGAAGGTGTGGGGCTGCATTGGAGTCTTGGAGACGATTGTCCGCTAATCTTAGATCGTACTTTGTAGATATCGAAACGTTGAGAAGCACCTATCACATCTGTGGCACACTCTGTGGCACCCTACCTCAGGCCACTCAACAAAATGTTTTTCTCGGCCTGCCTCTGGTTCTCCTCCCAGAAGAAGTGGTTACTTTGGTTAATGAAAGTGAGCATTCACTGATTTATTATAAATATAATCTTTAATCGAAAAAAGATATAGCAATAATTATTGACGATCATGCATCGCACGGATCCCCTACCGCTCAGCAACTTGCAGAATGGAATGACAATAGGAAAAGGGCTAATGAAGCTCTAGGAATGAAGAATCTCCCTCGAGCACCACCAAAGATGAGCGATGAAGCTCTCCAGAAACGCCTTGAACGACAGAAACGAAAGGAAGCTCAGTCAAAACCTGTAGCGGAAACTGACGTCGTAAATGCACCGGAAACACCAATATATCAACAATCTCAGTCGACCAGTGCAAAAGAGAAGAGCTATGCCTTCACGATACCAGCAACGTCAGATCTTCCTTGGTACAACTCTACTGGCTATCATACTCTCGAAGAAGTACGCTCCGCAGGCATTTGGACATACCCAGAATCTCTAAAGGAGAGAGCAAAGTGTGCGATCTTCCACGATTTGTGGAAGAAGGGCTACTATATGGGTAGCGGGTTGCGATTTGGTGGTGACTGGTTGGTGTATCCTGGTGAGGTTTCGAAATTACTGGCCCCAAGAAAAGCATAGTAACATTGCTCTTATCATCCAGGAGACCCGCTACGATTTCATTCTCACTTCGTCGCCACGGTCGTCCCATCTCCTGTCTCAATCATTCAACCGATGCAAATAGTGGCGTATGGGCGACTCGGAACTGCGACTAAAAAGGTTCATTTACTCTGTGGATGGGATGGACACACTGGCGAAACATCGTATTATTCAATTGAATGGGCTGGATTCGGTTAAGTCGATTATGAGGGTGTGTATCGAACTAAATCTATCAAATGGCTTGCAAAGGTGAAGCACGACCATCCATCTTCTTGCTCCAATCAAACCCGAAACCTTTCCATCCAGTCGGCTTCCACTCATCCAGAGCCTTTATCACCGCCTGGCCCCAGTCAAACGT